CAATAAAGAGGGCTTTGGGTTCCTAGAGAACTGGGTGGATATTTCAGTCAGTTGCCAGCTCTATAGCAGGGACAGACTGCACTTAAATGGGAACGGTGCAGTTCTGTTGAGGGAGAAAATTGGCCAAAAAGTTAGAGGGACGTTTAGGTGGTGGGGGGGAGGGATTAGAGGATGCAAAAGTCGGCATTGAGCAAAGGTAGAAGTATGCTTCCGGAAGCATTAATGGTAGTTAGAGATGGGAAGGCCTGGGAAAAATGGAAATAATGGGAAACAAACTGTTTTAATTTTCCGTTTTTTCCAAAGTCTTTTTTTTGCTTTGTTTTTTTCTGTTAAAAATGAAAAAAACAAAAGCTGTGGAATAGGTATTTTACAATGCTAAATAATATATCTATAACATGGTATTAAAACTATATAACATGAAGACCTTAATTAAAGATTTCCGAGACTTTATGTAAAGTCCTAAATTTTTACAAGTGCTCTCAGCTGAAGACAAACAAATCCTGGAATACAATTCAAGTAACACTTTACATTTCAATGCAGTTCTCAACAAGAGAAATATGAATTTATGTTGCTAGAGACACTGCATGGGGAAGGCCCAGTTTAGTTTGCTTGTGGGCTCCATCTTGTACCTCCTACCATTGGGTGATTGTTGGGATACAATAGATGATAGTTTCTGTCCTCCTCTCAGGCCTTAATTTACAGGTTAGAGGGTAAATTTGTCTGACAAATTAGTTTATCTTTATAACCTTTAATTTATTCCTATTCACGTTCTCCAACATCACAGCATGACATTTACTTATAGTCTGGTCAGTATATTGTTGTTTCTTTTCCTCTCAATAAAATGGTGAACCCAACATCTAGAGTTTGAAAACATTTCCACAGTGCAACTTCTGCTGAGAGCAAAGCTGCAATGTGCAAACATTGTGAAAACAAATATTCTTTTCTAAATGCTATACGGATGATAAAACACATTCTGCATGCCAGAGGTGCCCTAAAGACATTAAAAAATACTTTATGGATCTAAATGATGATGACCATAATGAAAGTGCAAGTAGCTTTTCCTTACAGAGTTCTCATTTCAGAAACGGTATTTCTGCTGGATCATTACAAGTTTAAAAAGCAGGTTTAGTTTATTTACTGAACAAGCTGTACTTTAATTTCAAGAATAATACTTTTTTATACACAACATTTCACATTCCCAGTGCATTTCACATGGGCATATGCTACAGGCCCCCTAACTTGAAGAATAAGGGGGAGTCTAACCTCATGTCACAGTTAGAAATGGTGGTGAGGCAGGGCAAAGTTATCATAAAGGGGATTTCAACTATCCAGATTTCAACTGGGCAGAAAGCACTGCTCACTTGTTTAAGGCTCGCCACTTCTTAAATGTCCTGCAGGACAATTTTATATGTTGATTGGTAGATGCCCCAATCAGAAATAGTACATTGCTAGATCTACTTATTACAAATAACACAGATCTGATCACAGGGGTGGATATAAGGGGCAACTTGGGTAACAGAGATCAGAGGGTGATCAATTTCAAAGTAAACCACAGTAAAAGGAAGCACGTAAGTAGTGCAAAAACACGAAATTTCAAGAGAGCCAACTTTTCTAAACTGAGCTCAATACTACAAGAAATTAAATTAAATCAAATCCTAGAACATATTACATAAAGGTATTAGCCAGTGCATTCCAATGGGCAACAAATATAAAAGAGCTAAGGTTAAACCTGGATGGCTAAACTGTATCATAAAAACATTTATAAAAATGGAAAAAAAATGGCCTTTAAGAAATATAATGCAGAGGGGTCATTGTTAGAATTCCAACACTACAAGAAATGCAATAAAAAGTGTAAGAGAGAAACACAGCGGATGAGAGTAAAAAGATCCCCAAGAAAGTTTTTAAATATACTAACAGTAACAAAGTGAGCTCAGAGCATATTGGCCCCAAAAAAGATGATCAAGGGCAACTGGTTACAAAAGACAAAGAGAAGGCATCAGTACCAAATGCATTCTTTTCCTCTTCTCTTACAAACGAAAAGGAGGGGTAAAAACAGCCATGACTGTATTGCTAGTAACATGTCACAGAATGTACCCTTGTGGCTAATGGAAGCCAGTGTCCAAAATTGAATAAAAAAACAAGCACAATTTAATCACCGAGGTCATATGGCTTGCACCCATTATAGCCAGACTGTTATTCCGAATTGTTATGGACAGTTTAAGGACTGGAATGGTACCAGCTGATTGGCGAAAGGCAAACCTGGTATCAATATTTAAAAAGGGACATGAAAACAGTAGCATTTGTAGCAAGTATTTCTGAAAAATTGTTCTTGCCAGATCAATCTGCTAACATTCTTTGAGGAAGTGAGCTGCCATCTTGATAAAGGAAGGCCTATGGGTATTGTATATCTGGATTTTGCAAAAGCATTCAAAACAGTTCCTAATAAATGCCTAATTTACAAACTGAGGTCTGTTGGCTTAGACCACAATGTGTGTACCTGGATAGAAAATTGATTACAACAGTGCATACAAAGGATGGTGATAAATAGTAAGTACTCTGGATGGTCTGGAGTGATAAGTGGGGTACCCCCAAGGCTCTGTCCTGGGACCAATTCTGTTTAACTTGTTCATAAGTGATATAGGGGTTGGGATAAATAGCCCAGTCTCAGTGTTTGCTGATGATACAAAGCTAAGCAGGGCAATAACTTCACAACAAGATATGAAAATGTTACAAGAGGACCTCGATGAAATAAAGGTAGCGGCAACTACGTAGCAAATAAGGTTTAACATTGCAAGATGTAAAGTAATGCACTTGGGGGCCAAAAATATGAATGCAAGTTACTTGTTAGGAGGAGAACCAATGGGGGATGGATGGAAAAAGATCTGGGAGCCTTAGTAGATCACAGGCTCAACAGTGGCATGCATTGCCAAGCTGCAGCAAGCAAAGCCAGCAGAATATTAGCATGCATTAAAAAGGGTTTTTACTCTATAGATAAGACTATAATTCTACCACTTTACAAAATTCTGGTTCAGCCACATCTTAAGTATGCTGTCCAGTTCTGGTCACCAATCCTCAGGAAGGATGTGCTGGAACTGGAGAGAGTCCAGAAAAGGGCAACAAAGCTAATAAGGAGACTGGAAGACCTCAGATTTGAGGATCGACTACGAACAATAAACATATTCTCCATGGAAAAGAGGCACTTAAGAGGAGATATGATAGTGATATACAAATGGGCAGCACAGTGGCTAAATGGTTAGCACTTCCACCTGGCAGTACTAGGGTAGTTGGTTCAAATCCCAGCCACGGCACCACCTGCCTGGAGTTTGCATGTTCTCCCTGTGCCTGCGTGGGCTTCCTCCAGGTACTCCGGTTTCCTTCCTTACTCCAAAGACATGCTGGTAGGTGAATTGGATCCTGTCTAAATTGGCCCTAGTACGTGTATGTATGAATGTGAGTTAGGGACCTTAGATTGTACACCCCTTGAGGGTTAGGGACTGATGTGAATGTACAATATATATATATATATATATAAAAAGCGCTGCGCAAATTGATGGCGCTATATAAGTATCTCAAATAAATAAAATAAATAAATACCTCAAATGATGCTCCCAGCATAGGAAGGAATCTGTTCAGATTCAGGGAGCTTAAGAAGACACATGAGCACTCATATAAATTGGAGGAGAAGCAGTTTAATGTTAAATCGCTTAGGGTGTTCTTTACTGTTAGGGTGATAAGGATGTGGAATTCCCTTCTGCAATCAATGGTGTTAGCAGGAAGTGTTGATAGTTTCCAAAAACTCTTAGATGGCATCTCGGTGAATGCAATATACACGGATATGGGAAATTATATTGACATAAACACACACATGCGCACACCCACACAGGTTGAATTGGATGGACTGTTGTCTTTATTCTACATTACCAACGATGTAACTATATGAAAGGCTTTACATTTGAGAGTTGAGTCACTTTAATCTCACCTTTGATCTTCTTTTTAGCATGATCCCCCCTCCCTCCAGTATTCTCTCTTATACTCAATGGTGACATCTTTTTGTCCAGTGCATATTCTAGACAAAGTGGGCATGAACTGTACTGGTTTTATCTCTTAAACTCTGCATTTTGTTGTATATTGTACAATAGTATGATGCAATTAATTTATATGACAAACCAATAGCATGTATGGTTACCTTTAACAAAATAAGCAATATATAATAATGGAACATTATATTATTTTATTTTAAAATCACAACATGAGATATATGTACTATATATGAGCACAGCAATCCAAATAATTTTAAGGTGGGTATGTTAAATGTTTTTCTATATACTTTTTTTTTTACTTGTTATAGTGATCGCTAAAACATGAGCTGACAAGAAACATCTGTTGATGAATCAACTTGAAGAACTGTAGTGCCAAAGGTTGCATTATGAACACATCTTCAATATTCTCTATTTAATTTACCAGCAGTTTGTAGTAATAAATCCTTTTATCAGTCTTTTATGCTTAAAGAGTACTTCTGTGGCTGGGCTACTATCCAATAATATTCCCTTAAGCTCTGTGCCTTCACAGAAAAATGGAACATCTGAAAAACCTGGAAATACATTCATCGTTTGATTGGCAAATTATGTAGACAGATATCACTTATACACCACTAATGATAATGAATGACATTGACATAACTGAACCTTGATTTTTAAAATGCCTACTAAACAACACATATTTTATATGTGGACACCAGGGAGCTAAAATGTGTTTATATATACACATACACGCACACGCACGCACACACACACACATACACACACACTATATTACCAAAAGTATTGGGACACCCCTCCAAATCATTGGATTCAGGTATTCTAATCACCTCCATGGCCACAGGTGTATAAAATCAAGCACCTAGGCATGTAGACTGCTTCTACAAACATTCCTGAAAGAATGGGTCACTCTCAAGAACTCAAGAATTCAAGCGTGGTACCGTGATAGGTTGCCACCAGTGCAACAGGCCCATCCATGAAATTTCCTTGCTACTAAATATTCCACCGTCAACTGTTAGTGGTATTATAACAAAGTGGAAGCAACTGGGAACAACAGCAACTCAGCGACAAAGTGGTAGGCCATGTAAAATGACAGAGCGGGGTCAGCGCATGCTGAAGCACACAGTGCGCAGAACTTGTCAACTGTCTGCAGAGTCAATAGCTAAAGACCTCCATACTGCATGTGGCCTTCAGATTAACAACTGTGTGTAGAGAGCTTAATAAAATGAGTTTCCATGGCCAGGCAGCTGCATCCAAGCCTTACATCACCAAGTGCACTGCAAAGCATCGACTGCAGTGGTGTAAAGCATGCCACAACTGGACACTAGAGCAGTGGAGACGTGTTCTCTGGGGTGATGAATCACGCTTCTCTGTCTGGCAATCTGATGGACGTGTCTGGGTTTGGTGGTTTCCAGGAGAACAGTACTTACCTGACTAAATTGTGACAAGTGTAAAGTTTGGTGGAGGAGGATTATGGTGTGGGGCTGTTTTTCAGGGGTTGGGCTTGACCCCTTAGTTCCAGTGAACGGAACCCTTAAGGTGTCAGCATACCAAGACATTTTGGACAATTTCATGCTCCAAACGTTGTGGGAACAGTTTGGGGATGGCCCCTTTCAGTTCCAACATGACTGCGCACCAGTGCACAAAGCAAGGTACATACAGTTATGGATGAGCGAGTTTGGGGTGGATACATAATAATACATATACAGTTTATATGTACTGTATATGTACAAAAAGTCAAATCATTGATTAAGGTGGACTGTGCACTGCTGATACATTGGACATGCAATAAATTGCACTATTTATCTTTTGTCTTGTGTTAAGATCTGATTAGGGATGACCTTTGCTGATTTGGGCATCTGGATGAAAGCCCAAACATTTACCTGATCAGTAGGAGCTGAACACCATGTAAATAGCAGTAATATTTCCTTTATTATACATGACAGCTTCTCGTTATTGATGGTTGTTAAGAATACTGGTGGGTGCAGGCACCACCAAGTCCTTAACCACTTTCCCTCCAGAGGATTTACCCCCCTTCCTGACCAGGCCATTTTTCCCGATACGGCGCTGACAATTGCGCGGTCATGCAATGCTGTACATAAAGGAAATTTATGTCCTTTTTTCCCACAAATAGAGATTTCTTTTACCTGTGCATTTTTTTATTTTTTGCACTATAAACAAAAAAAGACCAACAATTTTGAAAAAAAAAACCCAATATTTTTTACTTTTTGTTATAAAACATATCAAGTAAAAAAATTTAAAAAAAATCAAATTTCTTCATAAATGTTGGCCAAAATGGATTTTGCCACATGTCTCTACTAAAAAAAATCTCAATACATGCAAATGAATTGGTTTACGTGAAAGTTATAGCATCTAAAATGGTGGTATATATACCAGAATTTTTTTTATACTAGTAATGGCGGCAATCAGCTACTTATAGAGGGACTACAGCGGGACTACAGTGTCCATTCTGACACTGGGTACAAACTAACTAACTGCTACTGACATCCCAATGACACTAATACAGTGCTCAGTGCTAATAAAAAGCACTGACACTGTACTAATGTCACTGGGCAGGAAGCATTCAAATCTGGGGTGATCAAAGGGTTAACAGTGTGCTGTGTGCTGTTTTACATAATGTGTATTGTGTTTTATTAGAGAGACATGCTGCTGTGTATTTCTCTGTTGTGCAGAGAAATACACAGCAGCATGTCCTTGCTGGCAGGAGGGAGACCTGTGTTGTTTACACACAAGCCTCTCCCCTGTCAGTTCTACACGGTGATCCCTGAGTGCCAGCCAATGATTGATATGCCTAGACGCCGATGGCTAGTAAGTAGTAAGGGGCCATTTAAAAAAATATATATATATGTATGTTGGCAGGCATTGTTTTTTTTTCTTTCAACAGGTTTGATGGTGTTGGGCAGCATGATTAACATGGGTCTACATCACTGGACACATGATTGATGATGTATATATTTATCATGGAACTTTTTTTTTTATTAGTAAAGGACATGTCAAAAACCGGCTCTTTGTTTGTTTGTTTTATATACTTTGTATTTGTGATTGACTATGTACTTCTTACTCATTCACATGTGGGGCTAGTATCTGGGTTCCTCTTTATCATCAAACAAATCTTGCAGATTTCAATGCTTGCAGGCCAGGGTTGTAGAGAAGAAGCCTCTGTCCTCATCAGCATCAGTGTACTCCCTCCTCATTGAGGGCCTGTGGCATGACATGGTTGAGGAGGGGGGAGCTGAATACTTATCTCTTCCTTTCATGACCTACCAGGCTGCTTGCTCAGATAAGGGTCTGGTATGGATTTTTGAGGGGGACGTCACACTTTTTCATGCGGTTCCTCCTTACAAATGGAATGGACCTCACACAATTTTTTTTTTAATGTACCCCTTAAATTTATACCAGACACATCTAGGATAAAGGTCTGCTATGCTTGATTGTTTACACACAGAATGAAGTGGCCAGAAACTGTAATTTCACCAGCAATTTGAACACTTTTTTTCTTTTTAAATGTCAGTTTTGCTGTAGTGGGTTGTATTTTTTTAGAAATAGATCACAAGTTTAATGTTCATACCTGCGCCTCTTTCTAATTAACCCTAGCTGCTGAAATAAACACTAATTTTTCACTCTATATATCTACTATGCAGTGCTATATTCCTTTATGCAAAGACCTCTCAACACTGCACACATCAAGAAAATTTTAAGTAAAGATATTTCATATATGTGTGCAATATGTGTTATTAATAAAGTGCTCAACCTATATTTCTCCTAGGTACAGCTATACTCTTTTCTGCAAATACCTCCCAACAATTCATACATCAAATAATAAAATTGAGAATATTATGTGTTTTCAATAAAGTTCTCAACCCTAATGGTTCTTCTTATGCAAAAAATCTCCCATCAGTACATATAAAATGTGTAAACCATCTCATGCATACTTAAAACCTAATGTCTTCAGTGTATCCCAGCTTGTTTCTGGCCTTTTGCTCACAGTGTGTCCCAGCTTGTTTCAAGGCTTGTGTTCCCAGCATGTCCCAGCCTGATTCCAGCTTTGTGTTCCCAGTGTATCCCAGCCTGTGTCCAGCTTTGTGTTCCCAGTGTGTCCCAGCCTGATCCCAGCCCTGTATTCACCTCTGCATCACTGTTTGCACCTTTGTTTTATTATTTGCTTCCCTGCACCAGTGTTTTCCCCCTTTGAGTTCCAACCAGCACCTGTGCACTCCCAGTCAGGTTGGCGGACTGACCATTTGGAAACTCGGGCACTGTCCAAGGGCCCGGGGTCAGTAGGGGGCCCCATGAGATGCCCCTGGTACCTTTTGGGTTTGGGCAAGGACACAGGGGCCCCATGATCCCCTATTGCCCGGGGGCCCCATGAGTTGTCAGTCCGCCCCTGCTCCCAGTCTGTTTTTACCATTTGTCTCAGTGTATTCCTGTGCTTTCTTACTATTTCTCTGTGTATCCTGCTGCCTTGTGAGTCTGGTGCCCCAGCACTGCAAGGGAGTGTCCACTTGCTCTCAGCTGCTGCCTGCTCAGGTGAGTTGTAGGAACACAACCTGGGTATCACTTGCAGAGCAGCAACGCCATTTCTTGGAGCTCTGGTGAAGGCCAGGCAGTAGAATCTGTTCCTCCCACTACTGCTAAGCAAGCAGGCAATCCAAATATGCTATGTCTACTCTGTGTCTGTCATCACTATCTGTCCCACTGCATCAACAGGTCCTGGTCAGCCATTCCATTAATTCACCAATCTAAATGTGGAAATCTACCAGAACCCCTTAATTTCCATTACTGCAATGAATATGTAGTAGAGTCAGTCATCCTAAATTTCATGAGTCTGGAGGACAGATGCAAGATAGCTTGGCTCTTTCAAATGTATTCCTTGATGTGTTTTTTTTAAATGAACATAAGACCTATAGAAGGACTTATAAAGCTAGAACCTCCACTAAATTACAAAAATTATATATTTCTTGTAATACTATCACAGAGTTAAAAAATCTTTGCACGACTGCATTACTTCTTTTCTTTTCTTGCATAATACTTTTTGTGTGTTCTTTTTTACAGCATCAAAAATGTTTTTTTATTTGGTGTAGTTAGATGAACTTATGAAAAAAAAAAACATTGTCTTTCAGTGAGCCAACAGAAAAAGCAAAGTGTTTGTCCAAGTATACGTATTGGTATATAGCTGTCTAAGAATCCTCTGACAATACAGCCATACACCAATTGTGTGCTAGTATTGCATGAAAATCAGTAGGTTTGTAGGTATTTTGATACGTCTAAAGAGATACATACTGTATGTATCAGTACTGGTAATCAGAAAATAAAATGTTTTTTTACTTTATTTTTTCCTATACAGTATATATATATATATATATATATATACAGTATACAACAATATATATATATATACTGCAAGCTATGTAACTATCTGGTAAAGTAACAAAAGGATGTTGTCATCTTGTTTTGCTTTTACAAAAAAGTGCACATTGTAAACCTTTTGAAAGCACCATGTTTGACTTAGTTAGTCAAAAGTAATATATTTACTATCTAAAATATCTCCAATGCCCCAGATCCTTTTTAATTGACACATGGACAATAATATTATTTGGTATGCCTCTAGCGATATTTCTAGTTAGTGCACTATTGCCTTCAGAACACCCTTTAACATCAAATATGCTCTTTTATTCAGCTGCAAGAGTCTTTATATTTTACTTTGCAATGTTTTATTGACAGACATGGTAATATTCATTCCAACACCCATTTTACATTTTTTAGTTGCAACTCTTACCATCAAGCCTCCAGCCGTCGTCATGCTCAGTTAATCAAGAATAAACCATTTGGTCAATTCTGTGGGCTAAGAAAAAAAACTGTACATGAGAAAAGATTATGTTGAACAAATTCAGAAACTTATTGGTAGTCCTTTTGAGAAGTGATATAGCGAGGATCCTATTATTCAGGCCTTTTCAAATATTTGATGATTCAGTCTGGATTAAAATATTAATCCAAGCAAGGTGCTTCCAGTGTGCGCTTCTACATGCAAAATAATAGCAGTGAAATGAATATCATGCAAGTTTTGCAGAAACTTTAAAGTCTTCTGCAGAAAGACTGAGGCTTAAAGAACTACCAGGCATTTCTTCATTTATATTTGGAAAAATGTTATGTGACTTTGACTCAAACCCAAAATATATCCACTGTCCATTCCTTTTAACTCTGCCTACCTTTGTTAAGTTAGTATCTTCATCTCTTCTTCCTACAAAGCAATAGGTATCAGTTCTTGAAATCTGAATTGTAACATATTCCTGGGTCTCATAACTGTTT